GTGTGTGTTTGTGTGTTTGCGCGTATATTCATGTGTGCGCGAGTGTTTGTGTGTGTACTTATGTATGTATGTGTGTGTGTGTGTGTGTGTGTGTGTGTGTGTGTGTGTGCGTACGTGCGTGTATATGCAAGTGTGTGTATGTATGTTTGTTTGCGTGTACATGGCACCTGTATATCATTATTATGTATAAGTGTGTGTGTGGGTGAGAGGGTGTGTGGTACGTGTGTATCTGTACAAACGTACACCTTTTTTATTATGGGAGAGAGGGGGCGGGGAGGTATTTCACTATGTTTATGTCTGTTTGTGCTAGAGTGAAGATCTCAGTACCCAAAGAATCACCCTTTTCTGTCATTGTTAGATCCTGCTCGTGGGGTGAATGTTATGTCTGTATGGTTGAACAGTTTCGTGATTTTTAAAATGTTCCATTTCATAGACTTTATTTCTTCTCACAAAAATGTCACAAGAAGAAAAGCAAATAAAGATATGACTACTTTGACGACAAAACGCTGCGTGGTTTTTTTGTGTGTGTGTGTGTTGTTGGGTGTTTTGTTTTTGTTTTTTTTGGGGGGGGGGTGTTTTTCTTTGTTTTATGGGTATGCTCATCGCAGTTGGACTGATATTGTTTTGTTTTGTTGTGTTTTTTGTTGTTGTTTTTTTAAATTTTGTTTCGTTTTGTTTTTGTTCGGGTTTGGGGGTTTTTAGTCACAATTTGTTTATGTAGCTTACCCATTCACTGGTAAATTATATGCTTTTCTGTTTGGTGTTTGGGAAATGGGAAGTTGTCATTTGTACAAGTACAATGTAGTTGTTTAGGAGGTTCGTGTGTACACGACCATGATGTTCATCCTTATGTGGACTGAGATGGGAAAATACAATGAATAGTATGTTAGTTCCGAGAGTTACTCTTAAATTGCATTGACCGCCAACAAATCGCTTCCTTAGAATTACAAAATTCTACCTGACATTTTTGGCCGTTTTGCGTTACTAAAACACAGAGGTAAAAAAATGGTAAGATTATTCGGGAGTCGTTATCAATATATTCAAAGAATTGCATTCGAAAAAGCTTGACAATTTTATGTTGTGAAGCTCAACATATTTTTTTACGCCAAATGTCTCTAAACTAGGTGCTGGTCAGATATAACTTAGTAATTCTAGGGTACAGAAATAGTGTTGCTAGACTACAAACTATTATTATAAATAAGTTAAATATTATTTTCAAAGTACTTGTTTTACGCCCCGCCCCCATCGCACAATGTTAATAACCTAGGAGACAGGATTCGACCCTGCTTGAGAGGGATACAACGTTCCAGCAGAAAGACTGAGCGACGCGATAAGAATTCTCCCCTAATGGGAATCAAACCTAGGTCTTCTGTTTGTGA